TGGAGCCAAGCATTCTGTTCCAGAGCCCCCTGCTTCAGCTCCTTCCTAAGAGAGGTGAGAGAGGTGAGGACTGTAAAGTCCTGCCGGAGGCCACTGTCAGCCAAAAGGAAGCAGGAGATTGCGGCTCCAGAAACCCCTTAGCACCCCGTATCTCTCCATGGGGACAAAGGCTGCGGACAGAAAGCCATCAGCCCCGACTTGCTCTCATTCTTGGTCAATTAAGCCTTTCTAAGCCTGATGGTAGGGGTGTGTACCTTTAATCCCAGCACTTGGGAAGCAGAGGCAGGTGTGTGGGACTGAGGCTAGCCTGGGCTACATACATAGTGAGAGCATCTCAAAAAACAAAAACCGAACCTTTCAGCACATCCAGGCCCCAACGTGAAGTTTTGTTTTTGTTTTGTTTTTTTTTTTAGTTTTTTTCATTTTAGTTTAATTTAGAAAGAGGGAGGAGGGGTACTTGGATGCTATTTTTTTTTTTTCTGAGAATGACTGGATACATTTACTCAATACTCCTGCTCTCCTCCCCACTACATACCACACACAGCATGTGCATGCACACACACACACACACACACACACACACACACACACACACACACGAACGCACTCGGCCTTCCCTCCTGGGCTCCCAGAACCTAATTTTTCACATTTAGAAAACCCAGATGATTTTTGCCTGGGTCCATCTGGTTTTCCAAATAACCTGTCTTTTTGATAAATAACGTAAGTTAAATTAGACAAGACAAACAAAGAGAGGGGTGAGCAATCAGCTCCCCCCCCCCAGCCTCTGAGAAAAAGAGGGGGCTGAAAAGCCCAGAGCACAGTTCACTCCCCACTGGTCCCCAGCACTTTCAACCCATGGACTGGGCCAGTGCTTCTCCAGCCTAGAGTGGGGAGAGCTTAGCCACCCCCGCTCCTGGCCTACCAACCCACCAGCCCTAAAAAAACACCACATGCCGTGTTTCATCTGAACGTTAGCAAAGAACCCAAGTGTTCAACCCCAAAGCTTTCTCCAATCACCCTTAGGCTGTGGCTACTTCAAACTCCCTCTTCTCATTATGTACCCCACCACAGGGAAGAACGAAATCAATACACTGAAAATGAAAAACCTTTAAGGTGAGAGAAGATGGGAGAGAAAGAGGGGATGGGAAGGGCATGGGTAGAACTAAGATGGTGTAACTAAGGGATGCAGCGATCTGGCGCCTTGTTCTCAGAAGGTCAGATCGGAGGCCGACACCAGCTGCACACAAAGCCAGGCCTGTTTTTCTAGTTCACATCGAGAGTCCTGGCAATACCCATAGGCCTTCATTCCTACAGCTGTCAAAGTCTCAGAATAGCACTAGCAGCCACTGGCTGCTGGATTAGGTAGCCCCATGGTCTGGGAGAGCAGAGGGCTTTGCTAAGGCATGGCGTCATCTCCTACCCACCCAGCCAATGTGCCCAGGCCTCAGCCCCATCCTCTCCTAAGCGTCGAGTTGGCTATGCAGCCACATTCCATCGTACCTTTAGTCCAGCCATAACCCAGTGAGCCGCACAAAGTCAGCTCACATGAGTGCCTGCCTCCAGTTGAGGGGACAAATCCAGAGGGAAAGACTTAGACAGAGCGAGGTCTCACACCTCTATCTCTAGTCCATGCTCCTTTAGAAAGTGTTATAAACAAGTCAGCCATGGTGGCTCACACCTGTAATTCTGGCTGCAGCGACCAAGGCAGTGAATAAGCTAGCAGAGCCTACACAGTGAGGTGCAGGCTAGCCTGAGCTATAGTGTAAGACCTCACCTCAAAAATACAAAAATAGGGGCCAGAGGGGTGGCTTAGGTGGCTACAACTGTCTGTAGCCTCAGCTCCAAGGGCTCTCATGTCCTCTTTTGGCTGCCTTGGGCACCTGCACATACATGGCATACACACACACACACACACACACACACACACACACACACACACACACAGTACATGAGTGGGTATGCTCACACCATGTGCAAATAAAAATAAATCTTAAAACAAAAATAAAATAAAAAAAATACTTCTTTTTGAGACCGAGTCTCACTATGTAGCCATGGCTGTCCCGAAACTCACTCTGCAGACCAGGCTGGCCTTGAACTCACAAGAGACTTGTCTGCCTCTGCCTCCCTAGTGTTGGAATTAAAAGCATGAGCCACCATAATCTGCTATAAAGTACTTTTTAAAAAGTGTTGCTAGCAATTCAGCTCTGAGTTTTTCACCAGGTGTCTCAACACTTACTGCTCAAAGAATATTAATTAAATAACTTTATGTATCAGTTACAATGCTATCCCACGTAACAAAATAGTCTTTCAAGGAATTGGTCTTAACTGATAAAACGAACCTAACATAAAGTAGAAAACTGTGATAAAAAATCTAGAAGTGTAGGGACCATTACACAGGTTACATCATCCCTCAGAGTGACGGTGGCCAACGGAGGTGTTTCTGAGGAAGAGGCACTTAAGACAAGTGTGTTGAGAATTACACATCAGCCAAAGACAGAGGTTGGAGGTAAAGGCAAGCCAACAGATTGGAAGGTACTTCAGAAGGGCCGGAGGCTGAGCACAAGGGAGCAGACTGAGGCTGTAAAGCTGGCCTTTATCACGCAGGGCCTCCTGTGCCCTGAGTTTAAACTATTTCGAGTGTGATAGAACACTGAAGAGTTTATTAGATTAGATTTAAAAAAAAATTATAGATTCATTTATGTGTATGGATGTGTACTGCCTGAGTGTCTGGGAGTTACAGAAGGCTGTAAGCTACCATGTGGGTGCTAGGAATAAAACCCATGATGTGCTCTTAACTGCTGAACTATCTCTCTGGCCCCTAGTATTTTTGTTTTTGTTTTTTTACACAGGGTTTCACCATTATAGTTGTCTCTGTTCCCCGCTCACCCTCTACAGGCCTGAACCATGCTGCTCAGGCTTTCCCTCGAGCTTGTGGCAATCCTCCTGCCTCTGTACCGAGTGCTAAGATTATAGGCATTCACCACCACACCCAGCTCTGAAAAGTTTGTTTTCGATGTTAGGGATTGAACCCTAAGCCTTGTGCCTGCTAAGCAAATAACCTGACAACGAACAACAACCCTTCCCCAGGGAAAGGTTTAGAGCAGACAGTGCATCCTCCACTCATTACGCACGTGGAAAGGGCACCTTCTGCCTGCTATGGAGACTGGAAGAAAAGGAAGCAAAGACAGAAGCGAGGACATCAGGGGACTACTGCAGCACCCTGGAAAGAAGCTGAAACTCAGCACAGCCCTGGCTGCAGAGCTGGAATAAGCGAGCCAATTCAAGATGCAAATTATGAGAAAGAACTTACAGACAGGCCTGCAAATGGACAAGAATGTTTTTTACTTTTCCTTCTCGAGGGATGGGGATGCAGCAATAACTAATTTTTCACGATTTATTTTTATTATTTTAAAATTGTGTGTGCGTTTGTGCATGAGAGTGGAGGTGTCTGGGAAAGGCTAGAGGCACTGGATTCCCCTGGAGCTGTAGTTAATAGGCGACTGTAAGACACATGACGTGGACACTGGGAACTGAACTCAGGTCCTCTGGAAAAGCAGCCTCTGAGCCATTAGAAATTAATTTTTGAGCCGGGCATAGTAGCACACGCCTTTAATCCTAGCACTCGGGAGGCAGAGGCAGGCAGATCTCTGTGAGTTCCAGGCCAGCCTGGTCTACAGAGTGAGTTCCAGGGCAGCCAGGGCTACACAGAGAAACCCTGTCTCAAAAAAAACAAAACAATAAAAACATAAATAAAAATAATCTCAATCCAGGGAGAAGTTTACAGAGAAGTTGAGATGATAGGGGGTCTGGGAGGCTCAGCCTCTAGAGATTTAAAGCCTCTAAAAATCAAATACAACTTGATATTTTACAGAAGATTCTTCACAGCTTGTGCAGCTGTGGATTGACATGAATTAGGGAGGAGCAGAGATGGATTTAAATGACTTCAATACCACATGCCCCTACTTGGTAAGTATATTTTCATAATGAAAAGTAACCTAGAATTAAAGACTTCATTTTTTTCTTCCTTAAAGAACATGTTCTTTGGGGCCAGCAAAATGGCTCAGTAGGTAAAGGCACTTGCTGCCAAACCAGAGGACCTGGGTTCAATCCCCAGGACCCATATGGAGGAAGGAGAAAACTAACTTTTGCAAATTATCTTTCTATTTCTACATGTGTTCCTATACATACACACAAATATAAATTAAATATAAACATAAATTAAATGCAGCAAGATTAAAGAAAATAGGGAGCTGGAGAGATGGCTCAGTGGTTAAGAGCACTTTTTTTTTTTTTAAGAGGATCCGGGTTCAATTCCCAGCACCCACATGGCAGCTCACAACTGTCTGTAACTCCAGTTCTAACGGATCTGACACAGACATAAAAGTAGGTAAATAAATATGAAATAAAAATAAATAAAAATTAAAACATTACAGATAATAGAATACATTTCCCCAGAGACTCAAAGAAAAGCAATTTATCTCCCAGATTTGTTGGGCAATGACTTTCTTCTATTTAGTGGTCAGTTCCTTTTTATCATTTCTTCTAAGAAGAGTATGTGGAGCGAATGGAGTGCCTGCTCAGCCTAGGCATGGCCCTCGCTTTGCTCCCAAGTAACTTACCACTCCAACAGGGTATGTGGAGAAGCGGAAGGGAGAGCTGTGACCTCACCTCTTGGCTCTCTTGCTGAGCGGTGAGGAGGTACCTTGGTTAGGTGCTCAGAGAGTGCTAGCTATCACCTTGGGCCCAGAGCAACACCCAAGTATATGCAAAGCCCGCCAAGGAGAAGGTGCCCCCCGCAAGGACGCATGGACCCTCTCCTTCTGACTGGCTCTGAATTCAGACCACTAAGTGGGCAGTCTGATCATTCAGGGATGGAGAAGCCAGCAAAGGGCAGCTGCAGAGCCCTTTTATTCCCCGGAAGGGAAACATCCTGAAAATGAGATACTCTCTTAACTTAGGCACTGACCTCAGAATGAGCACTCAAGCTGGACAGCAAACCCTGCCCTTAAGGAAATGAGATTTATTGAAAAATCTACATACATATTAAAACAGCTTTATACACATTTCTCCTATTACAAGATTACAAATATACAAATGTATGTTCTGTCCAAGTCAGCATCCTGAGTATTAGAAATAAAATAAACAAAAAGCCCTATCAACCAAGAGAAAACCTACATCTTAATTTCATCAGTTGAACTGGCTGGTTTATGTCTCTCAAAAGACAGACACAATCTTACTCAACTTCCCATGGTCAGCTTTTGACACTGAAACCCAACATAATCCTGGAATGGTTTTTGCAATGCAACACTGAATTCAGTTCTGAGGGGGGAAATTGGTGTATATTTCTGAAAGCCCAGGGACAGGTCAAAGAAAGTGATGGCAGTTCTTTTCAATAATTTTATTAAATTTCACTGTTCTGATCTCAATATTAGTGATGAAGCAGTAAAATGTTCTCTGATTGGTCAGGGCAACAAACTCAGCCCAAGAGATGTAATAAATAGTGGTCAGGCAGATGGATCTCTGTGAGTTAAAGGCCAGCCTGATCTACAAAGTGAGTTCAGGACATCCAGGGTTACACAGAAAAATCCTGCTTCAAAAAACGGGAAAAAATATTAAAAAGTGGTTGGATTTCTTCTAGTCTGCAGAAGGGAGAGAGGCTCAGGAACAAACGCTTTAAGTTGAGACTCTTGTCCCAGAGAAGGTCTCTCTCCCACGGATTACCCAGTGCCGGTGGCCACTGGGTATAACCCCTCTTCTTCCAACATTACTGCAGAAAATGAGGGTTGATCTCTTTATACACTCAGTACCAGCTTATGTCCTTATCTCAAAGGCATTAAAGGTTAATCAGAAATCAAGGCTAGAGGCTTACAGGACACAGAAGGAAGGAGACTGATGCAGCAGCCGGGTGGGTGTTGCTTAGATCCTCCATCTTAGCTGCTCACGCTGAGGCCTGGCAGCCATGTCCCATGGTGTGGAGGAATCATCCTGGTACTGGCTTTCAGTAATTTTCTATAATGGCACACTTTCTTTCTTCTCCAAACACCCCCACTTCAAAGTGGTGTCAACCCAGGAAACTGCTAGGAAAAATGTCAAATGCTTAACAGAAGTGAGACTTCAATTATTCTGGAGGTCGATGCTGCAGAGTCTGCAGTGACAACACTGGTGGCCAAGCTGGAAAATAACACCAGGAAAGAAAAGAACGCTGCTGAGAGCCGTGCTGTAAGAAGAACTCTGCGCATAATGCAGATCATGAGCACCAGAGCGGGTCGTCAGCAGAAACATCAGTTCCACCTTTCCATGCCAGACCTACTTTGAGTAGTTTTGACAGACGCTGGTCGCCTGGATGGTGTTAGCTTTCCAAGTATCTGAAGATGCTTCGCTTTGGTCCTGGACTGTTCTTATCTGTCTTTAGCCGCTTAGGAGACGGTGACATCATTAATGATGGTCCCCTTCTTCTCACCTAGAGAGAACACAGGAGTCAGGACCACCTCAAGACTCACACAAATGCTTACCTTCAGTGAGTTCTTTAGCAACTCAGTCAAATCACAGATGATTAACAGACAAAAAAGAAAGGGGAGCTGGAGAGATGGCTCAGAGGTTAAGAGCACTGGCTGTTATTTCAAAGGTCCTGAGTTCAATCTCCAGCAACCATATGGTGGCTCACAACCATCTATAATGAGATCTGGTGCCCTCTTCTGTTGTGCAGGCACATATGCAGGCAGAGTACTATATAAATGAAAGAGAAAGAGAGAGAGAAAGAAAGAAAAAAAGAAAGAGAAACTTTGAAGGCAAATTTAAAAGCTGACTGTCGATCTGAGTGTGGAGGTTAGAGGTTTTTGTTGTCTTCCTCTGTTGTTCTCTAACCTGTTCCTTAAAGTCAGAGTCTTCTCTGAACAAAAGTTTGACATTTCAGCTAGGACAGCTGGCCAACAAGCTTCCAGGATCTGCCCGATGTTGAGGTTATAAAATTGCACAGCCATACAGCTATGCCTGGCATTTAACATGATGCTAGGGTTCAGACTAAGGTCCTCATACTTGCACAGAGAGAACTCTTAACCCCCCCCCCCCATCGACATGCTTTTATAATTAAAACAAATAAATCTGGGGCTGAAGAGATGGCTCAGTGGCTAAGGTACTTGCTCCTCTTGCAGAAAGACCAGATTCTGTTCCCAGCACCCACAGGACAACTTGCAGTTGTCTGTAATTCCAGTTCCGGGGGATCTGGCACCCTCTTCTGACTTCTCCAGGTACTAGACATGCACACAGTGCATGTACATATAGGTAGGTAAAATACAAACAAATCTTACCACAAGTAAGCTATATTTGGGAAGCATATCAGTTATCAGATCCTCTACCTGAGGCTTAGATGATTCCTTTACTGCCTCCGCCTTGGTGGGAGAAAGTGTATGGAAGACAAAGTTTCTTGAGTTTCGGGGAGCGCTGGGGTTGAGATCAGACAGGGCAGCGAGTTTCTGAAGCACAGCTTTGGGCTGATTCAGCAAGGAGCCTGTCTTCAGCTAAGGAAACAAGAGTCACTTGATATCAAACCACAGATGCCACAAAGAAGAAGTCCACCCATCCCTGTCTGCCTTGCCTGGTGCTGAGGGGATCATTTCTACCTTAAGCAAGACCTGCCCACTTCCTGTGGCCACCTCCCTCCCTGAATGACCATCTGATCTACAGACCACGATGTCAGATTAACAGGGTCCTAACTAACCTGGTGAGCACCTCCTGGTCTGATGGCTTCAAAGGGGTTACTGGACACAGACTTTGATTCCTGAACAACCACAGTACGATTGGCTGGAAAGAAAACATAGAAATAAGTGTTCTTGGCAAAGCTGGGTAGAATCTCTTCTACATTCAAATGAGCGAAGAGAACTTAAAAGCTGACGTAAGAACTCATTTATTTTATATTCATGACCTTAAAACTATAGCAAGTGTCACCAAGGAGACAATGAAATTAAGCTTATCGATTAATCATTAACAAGGCCTAATTTAAGAAAAAACAGCAGTTGGTGATTGTGGAGTAGAGTATGAGAGCCCATTTCTGGAGTTCAGTACACGGACGCTCAAATCCCAGCTCTAACACTTGAGCACAGAAATCCTGAGCAACAATTCACAATTCACCAGCCAAGCCTTAAAACTTAAAGCAGTACTGGAGAGATGGCTCAGTGGTTAAAAGTACTGGCAGCTCTCAGAGAACCTGAGTTCAATTCCTAGAACGTACATGGCAGTTGATAAACATCTATAGTTCCAGAGGCTCTGGCACCCTCTCACAGGTGTACTTGTAGCAAAACATCAATGCACATAAAAATAAATAAATATTTAAGAAAAAAAAAACTTGAAGCAAAACAAACTAAATAAACCAAAGCACAACATCTACTGACAGATGGCTTAAGAGCCAACCTCTGTCCCTCCTCACCTTGATGGCCCCTTTAAGACAGTATTACAGAAATGCTATGTTAGCTGCCATAGTCCCCGGAGGTTAGAGTCCCATCCAAGGCTCCAGCACTGACAATCCAAGTAGCTAGACCCAAAAAGAACCAAGCAAGAGCTCACCGTTCTTCTGCAGAGCTTTGGCTGTGACTTTCTTGGCCAGCATCATAAACTGACTGTCCTCCCCAACATCCTCTTCTTCGGCAGAAATTTTCCCCTGTTGAGCCTGAACATGAAGACCATACAGTATTAGCCAGGTAGGGCGGCACATGCCTATAATCCCAGCGCTTGGAAAGCTAAGGTGGGAGGATTACCATGACTTCAAGGCCAGTTTGGGACACATAATGACAGACTGAGGAGAGGCAGAGGTTGGCTCTAAAGCCATCGGTCAGTAGAACTTGTGCTTAGGTTTATTTAGCTTGTTTTGCTTCAAGTTTTTGTCTCCAAAACAAACAAAACAAACTCATGCAACATTAGATTACCAACAGCTTTCCCAAACAGTCAGTGTAAAGGGGCTGGAGAGAGCTCAGTGGTTAGGAGCACTGGCTGCTCTTCTAGAGGATCTGGGTTCAACTCCCAGCACCCACATGGCAGCTCATAAATGTATACAGCTCCAGTTGCAGGAAGTCTAATGCCCTCTTCTGAGCTCTGCCGGCACTCTCTACCTGTTCCCGAAGCCACTGCTCTCGTTCAATTCGCTCCTTCCTCCACTTGGCTTCAGTCTCATCAAGCTGCTCTTCAACCTGATCGTCATCAGAGTCTCTGTGGAACAGATCCATCTGGGAGGTGTCATCTAAAGGAAGGAGGAAAGGCGCTTAGCATTCTGTAATCCTCAAGGAGAGAGTGGTCAGACAGACAACCACAAGCCTGCATCTGTAGGACATGGACACGAGCCTTTCCCAGCACAGAAGAAATAAATGGATACAGCTATGTCTACCACATAGCCTGGTGTGTAGGCGGTTTTCTGTTTGTTGTTTTTTTTCCCCCAGAAAGGGCTGCAAGCAGCCAGGTTGGCTTTGAACTATGGAGCTAAGGATGATTGAATCCTGATCCCTCCTCCTCCTCCCAAATCCTGGGATTACAGGCATGCACCGCCATGTCTGCTTGTTTTCTAATGTGCTGCTGGGGATGGAACTCATGGCATCCATGTTCTAGGTAAGCAACCTACCAACCAGGACTCCTGGCTTAGTTCTGACTGCCATTTACCATCTTAAAGTGGACAAAAATGTATGCTGGAACCATTTCTTTTTAAAGGACCAAGATACCTATGTGTCTCCATCGGAATTTTCTCGTTCGTCCAGGCCCATCGCTATGCAGATCCCCATCAGCAAGGTACCTCTCTTGGTATAACCTCAGTCGTCGCTTATCATCATCCAACATGGCTTTCCTACAACAGAAGAGACAAGGTGCTCAACACCAGGACCATTCATTCTGTCAGGTAACATGGTGGCTTGAGGCGCCCTCCTGCTTAGAAAGGCTTGTTAGGGTACTAACATGTGTATTTTCTTGACCTGACTCTCCAGTTCCTCATCAGATGGAAGCACTTCCTCAATGATGTCTTCTTCATATTCATCGATCTCTTCCCCATCATACTCATCTTCACTTCCCACATCACTTCCTGACACCTCCGCCTCATCTTCCAAGAACTTCTTCAATCTCCTAGAAAGCAATTTGAAAGATTAGAAAGCAGACAATGGACACATACATGGAATATGGATACAGTAAGAAAAGCAGAAAGCCACTGTGGCTACCCTGCTCCAGGGGACAGCCCCACAGGAGTGATCCTCCACAAACCCAGTTACATCACAGAGCAAAAACAAACAGCTGAAAACAGGGTGGGCTTGGTGTGGTAAAGGGGGTGGAGTGACGGCTCTCAGGATGGAGGGACAATGAGAGAAGCAGAGAAATGAATGTGACCAGAAAGTATTGAATACATGTATGAGATAGTCAAAGAATTAATAATAAAAGAAAATTAAAATGTAGAACCATTAATAACAGGCTTAAATTTATAAGATACATATTGATAATATCTCAAATACTCTTTTTAATATATTTTTTTTAAAGATTTATTTATTATTTATATGGCATTCTGCCTGCACACCAGATCTCATTATAGATGGTTATGAGCCACCATGTGGTTGCTGGGAATTGAACTCAGGACCTCTGGAAGAACAGCCAGTGTTCTTAACCTCTGAGCCATCTCTCCAGCTCCTCTTTTTGATATTTAAACGGTGGTCACTTAGCCCATACCATGGCCAGGAGCTGTTCTTTATAGATATTACCATTACCCTCTTTCTTAGGAATGGGTACTAGTACCTCTGTCATTTTATAGTTAAGAAAGAGAATATCTAAGACACAAGGACACTGGAAGCTATAACACTCAAGATGACACTAGTTCTGGGAGGAATTAGAGATATTTGTAGAGAAATCACATGTAAGGAGGCTCAGAGAGACCAAACAATTCACTAAAATTACCACAAGTATGAGGTGGGAGGGACTCAGCCTAGGCTTGGGCAATCCTACAGCCAGAAAACTTGATATATTTTGTGTGTGAGTGCCTGCATGCAGAGGTCTGGGGACACCTTGTGGGAGTCAGTTCCAGCCTTCCACCTTGAGTCAGGGTTCAGCTGCTTCACTGTGTATTCCAGGCTAGTTGACCCACAAGCTCCCAGGTCATTTTCACTCTCTTTAAAAAACGAACAAAAGCCAGACATGGTGGCACATGCTTGTAATCCCAGCACATGAGGAGGCAGAGACAGGAGGATCTCTGTGAATTTAAGGACAGCTTGGCCTATAATGTGAGTCTGGGACAGCCAAGGCTACACAGAGAAACTCAGTCTTAATACAAAACAAAACAAACAAACCCAAGTCCAAAGCATAGCAAAAACCCCAAACTTAAAATTACTTCATTATTTTATGGGTGTTTTGCTTGAGTGTATGTCTGTGTACCACATGCTTGTAGTGCCTGCAGAAGACAAAAGTGGATGGCAGATCCCCTGGAACTGGAGTGATAGATGGCTGTGAACCACCATGTGGGTGCTAAGAATTCAATCTGTGTCCTCTGGAAGAGCAGCCAGTGCTCTTAACCACTGTGACATCTCTCCAGCTCCCCTATTCTCCTGTTGCTTAGTAGTGCTGGGATTCTAGATGCACACTATAATCCCAGCTGGCTTGCTTCCTTCCTTCTAACGTATGGGCTCTGGAGATTGAACTCAGGTCATCAGTCTTGCACAGCTATCAGTTTCACCCAGAGCCATCTCCAGGTTCCAGAAAACTCTTAATATATTCCCTACTATTTGGGAGTAGCTGTTAGGAGGTTCAAACTAGTTTGTTTTGTATTTGAGCTCACCAGTGCTTAGAGAACAGTATGATGCAGTGAGTTCAGGATTCCCAATTGACTGAGACCACCACAGTTTGTCTTCTTCTATTTTCTTTTTTGGCTGAGTCTAGACTTACACCCACCTCTAAGCTTCAACTCCACTCTTACATTTTGAGACATTTCTTATTAAGTTGCCTAGGTTGACTATACCTCTGTGGGCCAGGGTGATCTTCACTTATCAATTTCCTACTTTAGCATTCAAGTAGAGTTACAGGACTGTACCACCAGCCCGGCCTATTGATTTTTTTTCTACTTCATTCTCTTTGAGAAGAAGGCAGCTATCGACCGTGGCCTCAAAGTCTTGTGATCTATGGTTACAAGAAGCAGAAATTTGGAGGGTCTAAAAGATGACTTCTTTTCCCCCTTTTTGAGTCAAGGTCTCTACATAGCCCTGGCTGTCCTGGAATTCACTATGTACACCAGACTGGCCACTGTGGAATGCACAGAGATCCACCTGCCTCTGCTTCCTGAGTGCTGGGACTAAAGGCGAGCGGCACCATTGCCTGGACTGGAGAGTCCCTTTAAGTGTCCCTAGTCACCAGGTTTCCCAGTCTTCTCAGTAATGTAGCTGAGCAGTTCAGCTCTGGCTAACAGTCTTTAAAAACTCGGATTTGAAGACCTCTGCAGTTAAATAAAGCTTACCAACCACTGACTCGGGGGGATAAGATCTATGGATAATTTAAAGCTGTAAAAAAAACGTAAGGTGACAGGTGACAAATTAGAACCCCAACTGGATCTTAAAAGGATGGAATGATAGGCCAAAAGCAACAATATAAACTTAATAGATCAAAATAATGTCCTGGATATGAATCCAAAAGTCCTGCACATGCTCTATGTTAACGGAGACTTCTTTAAAATCATAGTACTATGGATATGCTACAAGGAGGGACAGTCAGATGAAAAATTAAACACACAGGGAAATTATTTAAATCTCAATTATCTAAGAATATTTGCATAAAAAGTTAAAAAGAAATTGTCAGAACTTTCATATACATTCCGGCCAACCAATATAAACAACTCTCTTCCTTTCCCCTCCTGCCTTCCCTCCATTTTTGTGTTACTGGGGATAAACCCAGAGCCTTGTACATACCAGGCAGTGCTCTACTATTGACCTACGCTTCCAACCCCTGTTTATCTGTCCATTTGTAGGTCTGTCTGTCCATCCCTCCATTCACCCACCCACCTATTTTTTGGGGTATGTAGTGTTGGAGCTTGTCAGGGCCTCATTTATACAAGGCAAGCACTCTACCAAAAGAAAAAAAAGTGAGCCATTTGCCCAAGATGAGAATCAAGAAAACTAAGAATGACGGAAATTCAGAGGAGGAAGGTTCCAGGCAATGTCAGTTATCTACGAGATCCTTCGGTTACAGGAAGTGATTTGATTCTTGTGACCTTGGGCTACATGACAGAAGTACAACAGCCAGAGCACATCCAAGCAGAAAGAGAATATGCCAGGACATGAGAAGAGCAGAAGAAACACTGCTGAGAATGTCACTAGGTCAGGGAGGAAGCATAGAGACAGGACTTAAAGAAAACACAACTATCTTTGAGAGTCAAGAAGTTGGCCATAGAAGGATTTTTAAAAACTTATTAGTTTGTGTGCATGTGTGCGCACAGTGTGAAGGTCAGAGGACAACTCTTGGTTTTCTGCTTTCACCATGGGATCTACAGACTGAGTCAAGGTTGCACAGGAAGCACTCTTACTGCTGAGTCATCACATTTGCCTCAAGGCCACGAGCGAATCTGTTTAATTTACATTAACCACAAAAAGTAGAAACTGAACCATCAAGTTTGCGTAAAAAGGTAACAACCTATACCTCAACTCAGGAGAGTTGTCTAGAAGCTGAAGGAAGGAACATAATACCTACATTTGCCTTTTCATCTTCTCAGACTGCTTCAGGAGCTCTTCTTCATCCTCCTCCTGGTCCAGGGCCAGCTCTTCATCACTAGAGTTGCTGTGTTCATCCTGCGATGACAGAGCAACACACTCAGAGTTCTACCCAATGACACAGGGATTGCATGAAGGGATCGCTGCCCTGCCATGAATGTATAATGAAGGTTTGTGTGCTCTTTCACCTGTTCTGAAACTTATTTTGCAGACAGAGTTTTGTTTTGTGTAGTCCAGGCTGGCCTTGAACTCATAAACCTCCTATCTCAGCCTCCCAAGTGCTGGGATTACAGGCATGTGGTCCTGAGTTTGAACTCCAGCACCATGAGACAAAACCGGAAGGCAACAGCAAGATTTACGAACTTCTGTCCCCAGGCCTCACCATAGGACATTGCTTCTGGTTAGACACTAACCTCAGAATTCTCAAGTAGTGATGCAAGAGCAAGAACCCGAGGGGAGTAGAGCAGAGTTTGGATCCCTCTGCACTCACCTCATCGCTAGTAAATCCATTTTCCCTTGAAACAAGCTGAAAGTCTCCAAATTCCTCCTCTTCGCCCTCTTCCTCCCTAGAAGACAAATCACTAAGTTACTGTAAGCAAACCACAAGCAGTCAGCCAAACTAAGAACTTAAGAGATTTATCAGTACTAGTAACTTCTTTAAGAAAGAGGAAATAAAATATTTTGTCTTTTAAAAATGTTTTGAGGGCTGGAGAGATGGCTCAGAAGTTAAGAGCACTGGCTGGTCTTCCTAAGGTCCTGAGTTCAATTTCCAGCAACCACATGGTAGCTCATAACCATCTATAATGATATCTGGTGCCCTCTTCTGGCCTGCAGGCAGAACACTGTAGACATAATCAATTAAAAAAGAAACTTAAAATGTTTTGAGCTTGATGGGTAAAGCACTTACTATGCAATTTTTGTGATAACTGGGGTTTTGATCCCCAGGACCCACATCAAGGCCAGGCTGACAGAGTGGCCCACCTGTAATTACAGCCTCATAAGGATGCCCAGGGTGGACAAACTAGAAAAACTAGACATGCCTGTGTGTAGTGGCACACATCTTCAATCCCAGCACTCGGGAGGCAGAGGCAGGCTGATCTCTGTGGGTCTGAGGCCAGCCTGGTCTACCCAGTGAGTTCCAGGCCAGCCATGGCTACATATTGAGACCCTATCTCAAAAACAAAACAGAAAAAAGTATATTCACACTATTATATAAGCAATGTCCAAAGTCCTCCAGCTAGTGAAACTGTACCCCTACTAAACAGATCTTCATTCCTCTCTCTAGCTACCATCAAATTTCACTTTCTGTCTCCATAAAACTGCTTATTCCACAGACCATATATATGTGGACGTTGACAGTATTTGCCCTTCTATGACAAAATTTCTTGCTCCTAGCATAACATTTTCAGGTTGCTCCACACTGAGGCATAATTCTTCCTGTTGGGCTGGGTGATGGTATACACTTGGAGGATTACCAGATTGAGGTCAGCCTGAACTAACAGTGAATTCCAGGCCAGTATGGGCTGCACAGGAAGACCTGGTCTCAAACAACAAAAACAAATTTCCTTCCTTTTGAAGCCATTTAATACATATAAATTTTATTTAGCAGATGTGCTGGCTAGTTTTATGTCAACTTGACACAAGCTATAATCATCAGAGAGGAGGGAATCTCAATTGAAAAAATGCCTCCATGAGACAGAGCAGTATATAAGCCTGTAGGACATTTTCTTTTCCTTTTTTTCATCTTATTTATTTATTTTTTTTTAATGTACATTGGTGGTTTGCCTGCATGTATGTGTGTGTGAAGATGTCAGACCCTGGAACTGGAGTTACAGACAGTTGTGAGCTGCCTTGTGGGTGCTGGGAATTGAACCCAGGCCAGTGCTCTTAACCACTGAGCCATCTCTCTAGCCCCTGTAGGGCATTTTCTTAATGAATGATAAGGGAGTGAATGGGGCTATTCCTGGGCTGGTGGTCCTGCGTTCTAGAAAAAGCAGGTTGAGCAAGCCCGTAAGCAGCACCCCTCCAGGGCCTCTGTATCAGCTCCTGTCTCTAGGTTCCTGCCCTGCTTGAGTTCCTATCCTGACTTCCTTTGATGATGGACAGTGATGTGGATGGAAGAGTACACTAAATAAACCCTTTCCTCCCCAATTTGCTTTTTGTCATGTTGTTTTATCACAGTAATAATAACCTTAACTAAGATAGCAGCCCACTGCATTCCCTCTTCGTTAGGCTATTATCGAGTAATGTTAAACATAAATTATAGAAACCTGTTTCATTCAGTTATTTATAAGAAAGGAGTTCATCTGGCTGAGGCTGGCCTTAAACTGTCTTGCCTTTATTTATTTACACACTTATTTCTTTAAGGTGTGTGCATGCGCAAGTGTGTGCATCTCTAAGTACATGCCACTGCCTGCATAGAGGTCAGAGGGCAACCTATAGGAGGTAGTTCTTTACTTCTGCGTTAGACACCAGGGATTGAGCTCAGGTCTTCAGGCTTAGTGGCAAGTACCCTTACCCACTGAGCCATTTATCTGGCTCTGAACTTCTGATTCTCTTGCCTGTTTCCTGAATATTGGATTCCAAGCATGACCAAACCAGGCTGTTTTTCATTTGTTTTGTTTTGAGGCAAGTCTTTTCCATGTCACTCACTTGGCCTGGAGCTTACTCCAGCTGAAGATGACCTTGAACTGCTGACCCCACTCCTTTTATCACCTAAGCTCTAGGGTTATAGAGCATACCACACCTGTCCACTTGTGTTTTTTACTTTTAAGTCTGTGTGTGTCTTTCTTTTGAGACAGGATTTCAATGTGTAGACTAGGCTGGCCTGGAATTCATGATCCTTTTGCCACAGCCTTCCCAGTGCTGAGATTATAGGATATACTACCAAGCCTACCACGCAGACTTCTTTTGAACCTAAGTTGGAGTTGCTGAATAAGATGGTAATTTTATTATCAATTTTGAGAAACCATAGTACTGTTTTTTCCTAGTAGTAAATAGAGGTTTCCTTTACCTTTGCCAATACCTATTTGTCTATATAAAATTGTTGTTACCCTAATGGATGTGAGGCAGTATCTCAGATTTACCTTTCCTAAAGTTATTTAGTTTATTGCTAAACAAGGTTTTTGTTTGTTTGTTTTCTGAGACAGGGTTTCTCTGTATAGCGCTGGCTGTCTTAGAACTCACTCTGTAGACCAGGCCTGGCCTCAAACTCAGAGTGCTGAGATTAGAGGCATGGGCTACCATGCTGGGTGGATCCTTGGTTTTACCTTCCCAAGTTCCAACCAATCTTTGAGACTCACCTGTCTGTTGGGAAAGAGCCTGAGCAAAGGGCAAGTGCCTCTTCCATAGGATCATCTGTGCTGTTCTCCCTCTCTTGCTTACTTAGCTCCAACGCAGACATAGGGGAGGCATCTACCTCAATAAGGAAAAGATCAGTAAGGGAAGGAAATGACACCTTACTCTCCTTAGCCATCTAAATATGGGCCAGCTCAATTCAGTTCGTAAGTACAATGTTGAAAAGCTTACCATCCATTCTTTCAACAAATTCCCCCGCCCCCTTTTTTTGAGACAGGGTTTCTCTGTGTAGCTGTGGCTGTCCTGGATCTTACTCTGTTGACCAGGCTGGCCTTGAACTGTCTCTGGCCTGTCTCTGCCTCCCTAGCGCTGGGATTCATGGTGTGTGCCATCACCTCCTAGCCTTTCTAACTTTTGTATATAGATTAAATTATACATTGTGATGCTGAGGCTAAAGTGGTCCTAAGTTGACACTGTTATTTTAAGAACATAAGAGCTGTAAAGGTAAGGAACTGAATGAATTCCGTCACGTCCCCGTTTTCTGTGCACTCACCACAAGGGGCACAGGGCTTCTCAGGACACTGACGTTAGCCGACTTAAGTCTGGCTGTGGTAAGCTGGCCACTCTTGCTGAATATTTACCTTGAGAAGGAAATTTGCCTGAGCAAAGATTCAGAAGTTCATCCATGTTTTCTTTTTTGTCATCCCTACTAGGCTGACATTTCTCTTCGGACTGAGATGTAAACTGTCCGGTACACAAATCCAGCAGCTCATCCATGTTGGCATCCATAGCATTCTCATCCATACTGGCCAGTGGCAACTGAGGCTTCAGAGTTTGGTATCGATTCCGGTGATTTCTAATGTTTAAAAATCTACGAGCAGCATGAAGTGTCAGAAATTACCCAAAGAGACAAAACTGCAGGTAAAAACTGTCTGGTTTCCAACACCAGGGTTAGAAGCTGAAGGTGGCTAGCAAGATGGCTGAGTGGGTAAAGGGCGCTTGCTGCCAAGCCTGATGACCAGAGTTCAATCCCCAGGATCCACATAGTGGAGGGCACCAAGCCCAGCAAATTGTCCTTACGCGTGCACATGCAGACTTACACGTGCACACACAAGGTAAACAAAGTGTAATTTTGAAAAATTATACAAAGAAATACTAAAAGGAGCTAAATGTGATGGGAATCGTGAATTTCAGCTTGATGGCCGGGATTTAGAATCACCATGAAAACAAATCTCTGGGTATGTTCAGGGATTATCAGATTAGGTTACCTGAGGGGAAAGACCCACCCTCTCTGCGGTGGCTCTACTGGGGTCCTAGGCTGACTGAAAAGCAGCTGAACAGAAGCATTCATTGCTTTCTTCTTCCTGACTGTGGAGGCAATGTGCCCACTGCCTTTTGCTCCTGTCGCCATGACTGGGCTGCCATGATGGATGGTATCCACTGAACTATCGGGCAAAATACGCCCTCCTTCCCCAAATGGCTGGCAGGTATTTCAGTCACAGCAAAAGGCAAGTAACTAACATACTGAGCCTCGATTCAGAAAACAGGATTCAAAGGTCAGCCTCATGCTAATCTAACCGGGAAGCATGGGCAATGTCAAAAGGTAAGGTATAAAGGTGGCTTCTAACGATACATCAGGGATGGGCGTTATAGCCCAGTCTTACCCAACAATCAGAACACAAGAGGATGAACAGAGAAAGCCCTTATTATACAAGATCTGTGTGTCTCAAATAAGGTTAGAGAATCGGAATGTCAACAAGAGGTATCTACATTTTATTTTCTGGAGATTTCGTTCAAACTCATAGAATGTGAGTCTAATGGTCTGTATACCTTCTCTTTCTCAGAAGAGAAAGCCAGATGGAGTGACAGAAGCTCATTTTATTTTTAAACAAAATTAAGCAGCACCCAGCCTTATCCCCACCCACAGAAACACAAAACTACCTACCCATCTGCATCCAACAGTTGGCTCTGAGTGTCATCTTCTAAACAGAACTGGAAGTCTCCTGCTCCTAGGAAAAGTGTCTTGGGCTCTGGGGAGGCGGTGTACAGATCCTGGGAATCCTCTATGGGAAGTGAAGGCTCAGACAGTTTTCCTGAACTCTGGCACCAAAACAAAAACAATAGCAAAACATTTTACAAATGCCATTCAGTGTCATGACAACAACAGAAGTTGCTCCTTGTGATATGTCATCTGCTGTTAGGCAATCGCAGTTGAGCAGGACAATGCATAGTCAAAGGCGCTCAAGGAAAAATACCTCTAAGCAAGAAGAACGCTTGCTAATACACAAGGGAGGTGGCTTTTTAAGCTGAGCACCGAGGTGGTGGGAGGTGGCTGGCTGGGGCATACTCTGTTTGGCAATGTGGGAAGTGAGAGGAGGAGGAGATTAGAAAAACTATCAGCACCTTACCTTAGAAGTTGAGCTGATCAAACTGGCTCGAAACAGCCCAGGGGAGGGGGATCTGAACCCTCCTGCTGTAGGGAGAAAGCTGGCCCCACGGCCTGTCTGTCTGTTGCAAGGCTGATAGGATGGAATTGTGGAGCCAATCAGCTCAAAGCTGCTATTGTGGCTGCTCTCCTTTGTTAGCAGTGAACACAAGTCATCTTCATCTAAAGAGGACGGGGAAATACCCTTTAAAGGTGTGATTACAGAAATGAGGTGGATTTGTTTAGGAAAAAGGGCTGAGGATGAAACAGGTAAAATTCACCGGCAAACCACTTATATTCTAGGTTTCAAATCATTCTGTTGAAGGTAAATTACTCTAATTTACTACAATAGCATTGCACAATCAGGGCTCATGACTAAGCTAAGTGACACCTGAAAGTTTTCTTTCCTCTCTACCCTGCCTAAGGCCTTCATCAGTCTTTATTATTCCAACAAATTACATATCTTTTTTTGATTTGTGTATAGAAATATTTCATGTTTCACTCAATCAAGAAATCAACATCCACCCACTCAGGACCTAACACATGCCCACTGTCTACTAGAAAAGGATAGCTCAGGGCTTGGAAAGATGGCTCAGCAGTTAAGAGCCCTCGCTGCTCTTGCAGAGGACCTGTTCAGTTCTCAGCACCCACGTGACAGCTCACACCACCTGTAACTCCAGAGCCATGGGTTCCAGTACCTTCTCTGACTTCTGTGAGCACCAGTTACACACATTTGTGCAGGCAAAACATTTGCAAAGTAAAAATAAGTCAGTGTTAAAATTAGCCCCCAAAATGGGCTATAAAGATATTCCAATTTGGGGGCTGGAGAGACTGGCTGCTCTTCCAGAGGTCCTGAGTTCAATTCCCAGCACCCACATGCTGGCCCACAACCATCTATAATGAGATCTGGTGCCCTCTTCTGGCGTGCAGATATATATGCAGACAGAACATTGTATACATAATTTAAATCTTAAACCAACCAGAAAAGATCACTACTTACCCAGTTTGCTGGACTGCTTGCCCAAGTGTTCATCTGTTTCTGATTTTTCTTCAGTAGGAAAGTAACTACAAATTAAAATAATACACTGCTTTAGTATCTGTTCTTACTTCCTACTCTCTTGTAAGAAATCCAAAGGATGGGCTGGAAATGGCCCCACCGTTAAGACCTCTTCCAGAGGTCCCAAGACTGGTTCCCAGAACCCACATCAGGCATAACCACATAAAACTCCAGCTCCAGGGGACCCAACACTCTCTTCTGGCCTCCTCAGGCACCTGCACTCACGCACACACAGACATGCACACACCTTAAAAAATACAAGTCTTTAGACATCCAAAAGAATTTTGTATGTCCTTAGAGGAACTTACCCAGTCTTGGAAGAGCTGTCCTTAAACAGAAGTAAGGTGGAATCCGAGGAGAGGGGCTTGGGAACGGAGAGGTCAACAGACTTGCCAATTTCACTACTGCCATCTGTATTTTCTTTATCTGTTTCCTTTTCATCTTTGGTTTCTGTATCTTCACTAACAAGAAGAAAGTCTGCAGTCTATGCCAATCATGTAAAAAATAATAATACAAGTCAAAAAATGTAAAGCAGATCCATTCTTAGCCTGAAATATGGATTCTTGGTTACAGGTAATATCTCAAGTATGAAAAGGTAAACTTAAAACAAACTTCTTAGAGTTGTTTTTTGGGTGTTTTGCTTTGTTTTTTGAGGCAGGATCTTACTATGTGGGCCTGGCTCCCTGACCAGTCAGTCTAAACTCACTCTGTAGACCAGGCTGGCCTTGAATTCACAAGAGATCCATCTGCCTCTGCCTCCTGAGTGCTGGGATTAAAGATGTGTGCCACACCTAGCTAACTTGTAGAGCTTTTCACACACTCCTAATATTGCTACAATTATGAAGGAAGATTAGGTTAGAGTGTTACTAAGACACTAAGAGAGTAATGGCGTGGAGAGGTAGGATGACTGCTGACCATAGTCAACCACAGCCGACCATGGCTGCCCAGCTCAGCACTACTTTCTCGCTCTTTACGCAGGGTTAAGCACCTACTATGTCTTTCAAAGAACAAGAAAGGGCTTTTCAAACCTCACAGGCGCATAATCAATCACTGCCTCCCCTGAGCTGCAAAACCACTATTGAATAAGGCTAGAGGCTGTTCTATAAATGCCCTCCATAACTAAGAATGAGATTAATTTAGGAAGACCTCTTGCTTGAGAACTTATTCCAGACCTCAGTCTAAACAAGAACAGTTGCTTTTCAATCTGAATCAGTGACAAACAGAAAAGTTCTTATTAATAAAGTTATTTTCAACATAGCACTGTATTAAAATATATAAACCACCAGACAGAAACAGGACACAGACAGCTGTGAACTTCAGGTACTCAATATTGCCAAGAGAATTGTATGGACTGAGTTTTGAGCACATACATTCATAGCTAATTTCATCCATCCTTCAGACACACAAATGATATACTCACATACACAAAGGCAAAAACATGCATACATATTTTTAAAAAAAAACTTTTGAGCCAGGCGGTGGTACATTCCTTTAATCCCAGTACTCAGGAGGCAGAGACAGGTGGATCTCTGTAAGTTCAAGACCAGCCTGGTCTATAGAACAATTCCAGGACAGATAGAAAAACAGAAAAACCCTGTCTCAAAAAACCTAAAAACAAACAAACAAACAAACAAACAAACAAATAAATAAATAAGACTTGGGGGTGGGGGGGCTGGAGACATGACTCTGCACTTTGTGTTTCTGGAGTACAACCCTGTTTCAATTCCCAGCCCCCAGGCAACAACCACTTGTGCCTGCAGTTCCAGAGGATCCAGTGCCCTCTCTGGCCATTGCAGGCACTGCAGGTAAAACACCCGTACACATAAATAATAAGGAAATCTTATTTTTCTCTTATTCATCATGGCCAAGCAACAAAATTATATAATTGCCCCAAACCTCCTGAGTGTCTTGATTCTCCTCCTCTTCTTCTGCCTCCTCTTCTCCATCTTCTTCAGACTCATCTGTCATTTCTTCCTCTTCCTCCTCCTCTTCAAACCCATCTTCATTATCTAATTTTAATAATGCTTGGCGCTTTTGCCGCTCCTCAAGCCTTCGGAGTTTCATTGCCTCCTGCAATTTAGCTTTTAGCATCTGCAGTTTTTCACCTGAACAACAACAACAAAAGATTGGCGCGCTATAGATATGACCAACTACACAGTACAATAAATAAATAAATATGCAATTTAAGCAACTCTTTGTATTTTAGACATCCAAAAGGAAAATCAAAAACCTTAGTACCCCAGGCTTTTATTTATTTCAACACAGGATAGTATAAGAGAATGTCTGTACCCAGATGATTATAAATAACTGTTTAAAGGATGGTGGGAGGGGGCTGGAGAGATGACTCAGAGGTTAAGAACACTCACTGTCCTTCCAAAGGTACTGAGTTCAATTCCCAGCAACCACATGGTGGCTTATAACCATCTATAGTAAGATCTGGTGTGCAGGCAGAATGTTGTATAAACAATAAATTTAAAAAAAAGTTAAAAAAAAAAAAAAAAGGATGGTGGGAAGGGAACAAAGTTTCAGAAGTCTCTAGCTCAAAAGGTCAGGGATACAGCTCAGTAGAAAAACATTCAGTTAGCATGCAAGGGGTCCTGGGTCTGAGCCTCAGCACTGGAAAAGTCTCAGGCTCAGAAGCCATAATGGAAAACAGTGAAATACTTATTTATATAGAGACAAACAATTAAAAAAAAGTAAACGTGGTAAAAGAGATAATTGTCTTGCCTCAGCCTTCCAGATGCTGGGATGTGCACCACCATACCTGGCTTCTCTGTACAGTTTTTTCAGTGAGTATGACTTTTTATATTTGGGTAAGCACTTTAAAAAAAAAATAAAGCTATTGTGGGCACCCCCCCATGCCGCCTTTGAATCATCCCGAAGGCGGTGCTGCCAGTCTCCACGGAAAAGTTCTGTAACTTCACGCCATACCTTCAACAGAGAAGAGAAATACCTGGTTTTGTGTGGCTTGCTCCATCCAGTTTCTCAGCTGCCAAAGTCACAGGCACCACATCCATCTTTAGCTCCTCCTTCCCGTCAGTGCCCAGGTCCTTCACGATGATGTTCACATTCACTGTCTGACAAGCCCTGGGATTGGCTGCTGGGTTAGCATGCCTCCAGAAACGCTGCTTCAAGGCTTCCAGTTCTAAACCCAAACGTGAACCAGCGTGTCAGTGTGCCATGCTCATGCTCTTTCCTTGAAGATTCCAGTTAAGAATGGTAAATTTTCTAACTTAACAGCATCGAGGAAATAACAAGAGAAACCAAAACCCTCTAGCTAGTAAGATCTGCACAAAGTTCATACACTGTAACCCATAACTGTTTTCTCTCTTTAAAAACCAGACTCTTTAAAGCAAAATTTTATTGCATTTATTTTGTGTGTGTTTGTGTGTCTGTGTGTGTGTGTGTGTGTTTGTGTAGAAACGCATGCCATGGCCTCTGTGTGGAGGGCAGAGAACAATTTTTAGTCAGTCCTTTCTTTTCACCATGTGGGTCCCAGGGACCAAACTCAGGCCAATAATAGGTTTGGTGGCAAGTGCCTTTGAGCCCTCTGCAGCCCTCAATTACCTTTTAGTATCAAATCAGTAGTAAACAAACAAAAAATCTGCCTCCATTTCAGCTATTAAAAAGCCTAATTTGGAGCCAGGTATGGTAGTACATACTTTTAACCTCAGTACTTGGGATTAAAGAAACAGGTGGATCTCTGTTCGTTCCAGGCCACCTTGACCTACACAGCAAGTTCCAAGATAGTCAATGTTACATAATGAGACACTATCTCAAAAAACAAAACAAGTTCAGTTTGGGGCTAGAGAGATGGCTCAGTGGTTAAGAGCACTGGCTGTTCTTGCAGAGGGCCTGGGTTTGGTTCCCAGAAGCTACATGGTAGCCCACGTGACTCCGATGTCTTCTCCTGACCTCTGAGGGTTCCTGCACACACATGGTGCACAGTGCACATTCATACATTCAGGCACATACACATAAAAATGAAACAAATAAATAATAACTTTAAAAAGAGGCAAGATTAGTTTTAAAAAGAAAAGGCTTATTTTTGGTGGTTATTATTATTATGTTTGTTTTTAGAGACCAGTATCTCAAGTTGCCCAGGCTTATCTTGAACTACTGATCCTCCTGCCTCCACTAAGAGCTGAGATGATAGGTGCACACCACCACACCCAGCAATGGTTACTTTTTAAAAACATGCACTCAAATCCCATGTTAGTAGCAGTTTGGTTATGTTCTTTACTTTCCCCAGAGAAAGAGACACAGTCTTTTTATGTGTCTCTAACAATTATTAGTAAAAACCCAACTCAAAAGCATGGTTTGTCTACTTAAAAAGAACAGTGGGAGAAACCCTAAGTTTGCCTCCTATTTATAGTAGCTCGGTAAAGAAGCAACAGGTGGTCCCAGCAGAAAGAGAACAGAAATAGGCAGATCATTATTTGATGCTAATAAAATAAAGCAGTCGAGTAAGAAGATTTCAGTGAGGCCCTAAAATAACAGTGAGGAAGTACCTTCATTCATAACTAGAGAAAGTGAGGATTCTCAAAGCTCTCCATTCTGGAGTCAGGTGAAACAGCCACTTTCTTTGCCTTTGTTACCCGCCTCAACCATCCCTCACTCTCCTTCCCTCAGTCTTTTCCTAGTATCTCTCATCTCTTCTCTGAGTAGAAAAACCTCTGTCCCAGCTCAAGTTTATATGCCCATAGCTTCGGTCCATTATTCTCATTTCCACTAGCTTCCTGTGCCTTCATAAAGAATAGAAATAGTATATTTCCTACACGATAAAATTTAAATCTAGATTCATTTTTCTCATGGACATTCACTCTATGAAAAAAAGAAAATGAGCTGGGCGGTAGTGGTGCACGCCTTTAATCCCAGCACTCAGGAAGGCAGAGGCAGGCAGATCTCTGTGAGTTTGAGGACAGCCTGGTCTACAAAGCAAGTCTAGGACAGCGGAGACTACACAGAAATCCTGTCTCAAAAAAAAAACAAAAAAACAAAAACAAAAAACAAAACTGAAATATTATCCTTGTTTTCATTCTTCTTTGTACATTTTGAAATTTATTTAAAATTTTAACTATTCGTGTGTGTGCATGTGACTGCAGGCGCTCCTGGAGGCCCAAAAGCGTCAGATGCCCTAGTGTTGGAGTCCCAGGTGCCAGGCGGGAGTGCTGGAACTGACTCTAGCCCTCTGTAAGAGCAGCACAGGCTTTTATCCACTGAGCCACCTCTTCAACCCTTTCTGGTTTTTTGGTTTTTGAAACAGGGTCTTGGCTATATAGCCTTGGCTGGCCTGGTCCTTGCTACATAGCCCAGAGTAGCCTTGACCTTTCAATAATCCTCCTGCTTCAGCCTTCTATGGGCTAGGATCACAGGCACAGGGAGTCATGTCCAGCTCTAAAACCCTTTCAAACCATCCAGTATGCTGGTCATCAGCTTGAACGTCCTAAAGTAAGTGACTAAGTCATTTTCCTTGCCTAAAACAAAACTTTTCAAGGGTCCTTTACTAGAAAAGGCTCAAGTGAAGCTCTACCACGCCCCCAAAGCCCTACTGGATCTAGGCTATCATCATCAATTCCCCTACAACTTTCAATCCACCAGCCAGCACTTCCTGTGATTTCTATTATCTGTCTTTTGTAGTTGTCTCTACCAGAAAAGCTGCTTGCTTTGGTATCTCCTCCTCTGTTTTCAGGACTGGTTTTGATTGTTTTTTTTTTTTTTTTTTCCCAGAAACTTCTCCAAAGTTTGCTCTAGGGTTCCTATGCATTTCCTCCAGTCAACACATACTGACCACTTTATTTACCATCTAGTACAATAATGGTTGGTTTGCCTATCTCTATCATATTTTCATTTCCTTGAGAATAGTATCCTGTTTAAAAACTGAGCTTTCATGTCAATTATATTTAAAGAAAGTCAGGGTCTTACTATTTGGCCCTGGTTGGCCTGGAACTCTACATAGACCAAGCTAGCATTGGACTCACAGAGATCAGCCTGCCTCTACCTCCCAAATGCTGGGATTAAAGGCGTGTGCCATCATGCTCAGTGAAAACATGCCGAGTTAAATGAGAAAGCATCCATCATGTGGCAGGAATATGCTAAGTTCTGTATAAGCTACGTATCATGCTAGGAAAAAAAAATCACCCAACTCCTGAGCCTCAGTTTCTTCATTTTGCAAAATAATCTCCAGGGACATAAGAGTCAAGGAAGTTAATAAAGTCTAGCAGTATTTAATATAGTAGGTCCTCAAAAAAGATCCCCCCTGTGTCCCCAGGACTGCTTAGATAATTGCTAGTGCCACTTAACAATATGTTTCCTCAGTGCTGTGGGCAGCAGCTCCTTCTTGTCCTTTGCTGATGAATCTATGCTGCTTGTGTTATGAAACTCCCGACTGTGCCTCCAGCTCTAATCAAACTCTCATCTTCTCCCAGCATGTACTGTGCCGAGCCTTTTCTGTACTTTCTAAAAATGTCCTTGTCAGGCGTACTCGCAGTGCACACCTGTAATTCCAGCACTTGGAGGCAGAGGGGGAAGAATCCTGCAAGTGTGAGGCCAGCTTGATCTACATTGTGAGTTCTAGGATAACCAAGGTTACATAGTGAAACCCTGACTCAAAAAAAAAAAGTTTAAAATAGATACACACATGTGTATGTATATATATGTATGTATATATCCCCAGAATATCCTTCTTTCACCTCTATGAAGTCCATCCACCCAATAAAGTCACCAAGCTTATTTTACACACCAAACAGTGGCTAACACAGCACCTGCCAACAATAAGTTGCAGATTCAAATATTCTTGATGTAAACAATTCCAGTTACCAGCATTTGAATGCTTTTTTTTTTTTTATCCTATTCAGTTGAATACATTATTTCAATACACCTCAGCATAGCTCCTGATCCACAGTGTCTTTCTTTTCTTTCTCTCTAAGATGGGCTGGAGCAAGCCCAGGCCTGAGTGTTGGCACATATTGAATCCCAACCATGAGGCAGGCAGGTTGAGGAGTTCAAAGCTAGCCTCAACAACAGAGAGATCCATTTGAACAATAACTAAATAACCTACACTCGGTTAAACAATTTGTAACATATGCCTGGGATAGGGGTGTGACTTAAGTGGCAGCGTGCTCACACGCATTCATGAAGTCCTAAATTCAATCCCCAGCACCCATGAACCAGGCCTATAATCCCAGTACTCAAAGACCAAGGACATCCATGGCTACATAGTGAGTTTGAGACTAACCAGAGAAACATCAGACACAAGAATGTCCGAGTGCCTGGAGCTGCAGTTGAAGGTCCTTAGGCGCCATCAGGCATGGGTGCTGGGAACCAAAGTCTCTGTCCTCCAGGGAGCAACACGTGCTCTCACCCCATGAGCTGTCCTGCCAGGCCCTACAGTGAGAGTACTGTAAGCGAAGGGTGTATGTATGATTTATCCAGTGTGTGATAGACTGCCTTGCTTGTAAGACGGGATTTTTATAAGGTTATAGTGACTTCCTGTCAGCCTGGAAGAGTAGAACATTTTATAAACACAGCAGATAGTTCAGTATCTGTTGAGGTTGAAGGTGGGGAAAGAAGTAAAGTTTTGCAGAAAATTTAAGTGGACCAAACTGTTTCTCTCTGGCTGTGAAAAATGGAATGTTTTTATGCATGAGTTCATTAGATCTGACACAGGGTCATAGAAAAATTTAGGTGTTCAAGTCAAAAAGGGAGAAATAAATTCCTAAATACCATAACCCAACAGCAGTATGCCTCTTCGTATGTTAATTACCACCAGGTTTCTATTTGAAAAAGACTTACAAGATAACCCTGACATCTGCCAAAGCCACCTGAATGGGATTCTGCCCACCTCTTGCACACCTAGAATGAGATCATGAGCAATCACTGGCTTCTCCCACACTCCCCATCTTCCACAGCAGCCAGCAGAAGCTGCCGGTAGGAACCACCCCAGAGAATCTCCCCACTTTCAAGGGTTACCTCGGTTGGGTTCAGGTTCATCAAGTATCACAAAGGAGTCTTCGTCAGCACCCAGCCGGGGCTGAATGGAAACATCCACTCCTAGCTGCCTAAGTCGGTCCATGGTGAATCTTCTCACCTTCTTGGGTGGCGTACCTGCCAAGGATTTCGCTTTCTGTGCAGGCTCTCCCTCTTTTGCATCTGTCTCTTCTGTTGTTTTCAGTTTTTCTCCCTCTAGGGCATGAGGGTCAGACACTGTGAGTTCTCCAACCTGATACCCCTCATTGATCCTGGAGATGGAGGGTTCCTGCTGTGCCACTGAAGTGTCCCCAGGAGAAGGTCTGTCATCACCGTGCTTCTCAGTCTCCTCAATTTCCAGCTCTCTCACTGGATCCTTCCCACAAGCCTCATCTGATCCAGCAGTAATTCCAGCTTCTTCTGAGACCTCAGGGGCAACATTAGTTTCCGTTGCAGTTTCTGTACCTGTTGTCTGCTCAGAATCTTTGCTGGGATCATCGGCATTCATTTCAGCTGCATCGGCCGTGTTTATGGTCTCCTTGTAATGGCCTGACTGATACTTACATGACCTAGAGGAGGGGACATGAACTGGAATTGAAAATTCTCACTGTGAAACACTCTCATCCCTCAACACGGAATGAATCATTTAAATCAGCTTTACGGGACTAAGGATTCTGAACTTTACACCAGATGCTACAGAACTAAATATCCACTAAGACTATAATCACAAGGAAAGCAATTTCTTACTTCAGCAAGGCCATGGCATTTCCCTGGCAAGTGGGCCTGGGTTTACGTTTGAAGAAATCGTGAATAGTTTTACTCTCAGGCATATGATATGGAAGATTAAGTGCAGATTCTAAAAAAATGGAACAAAACAAGGAAATACTCATGTGTATATTCTGAAATGTCACTTCATACTCAGTTAACCAAATACTATAAAACCAAGCTATCACGAGAAACAGAAAACAGTCCTGCTTTTACCAAGGGCAAGAGCCAAACACATGCAAGCTTCTTAAAGATCACTGGCTTTTGTACTTGTATTGATAGGAAACAAGGTCATGCTGTGTTTCACAGCCTGGCCTGGAACTTGCTGTATAATCTATGTTGACCTCAAACTTTCAATCCTCCCACTTTAAAAACATTAAAGGCCTTGGGCTATATGCCAGGCAAAATAAACCAGAATGCTTTTAACAAATACATATTCCTGGATCCCTTTTCAAACCTACTGAATCAGAAACCTTTATATATCTCCAATAATTTCACATATTTCAAAACTCCCTAAAGGGATTCTGATGTGGTCAGCTCATAGACAAAATATAACAGTTTTCCCTCGTGGGGCTACAGAACTTTGGCTCTCACAGAGGATCTGAGCTCAGTTCCCAGAACCCATGTCAGGTTGGCAGCTCACAATGGCCTCTGTGGTCAACTACACTCACTCCCACACATATACATATGCAAACATGTAATTTTAAATATCTTAAAAAACCAATCCCCCCTTTAGCTTACCACAGTTCATCAAATTTTCTGTTTATATTAATAGTCCAAGGGCTTGAGAACAATGGACATTTATGAAGTTTCATATCACAATGTGAATTCATATTACGAGTGTTAGCAAACTAACTCCCCAACATCCGAGATGAGCAGACAAAAAAAATACAAAGCAAACAACTTATCCTAATTTCCCTCACAGTTTACTATAGTGGTTTGTATTACCTCGGACTAGACGCTGAGTCTCGCTATGCAGTCTTTTTAATGCTTCCTTACTTAGCTTCGCTGCCTTTCTTTCCTTAAAAAACACAAAACAAACAACAACAAAAAAAGGTGAAACTCCAGAAAGAGATTTATCCCTGAAGATAAATCTTCAAGAAAACAGGAAGAGAGGGCTGGAAAGATGGCTCAGAGGTTAAGAACATTGGTTGTTCATCCAAAGGTCCTGAGTTCCATTCCCAGCAACCACATGGTGGTTCATAGTCATCTACAGTAAGATTTGGTGACCTCTTCTGGTGCGCAAGCACACATGCAGACAGACGCTGCACAATAAATAAATAAATAAATAAATAATAAAACAAACAAACAAATAAATAAATTTATTAAAAAAGAAAGCAGGAAGAGAAGGAAGAACAGGCACTCATACAATCAATACAAGAATAAGGAATGTACTTATTAGCAAGTTTCAGAAAACAAAGGTACCCTAGTGATATTTCTGTTCCTACTGTGTTACAAAGAAACATCGTGGCTGGACATGCCTGTAATCCCAGCATTCAGGGAGGCAGAGGCAGGCGGATAGCTGCGAGTTTGAGACCAACCTGATCTACAAAGTGAGTCTAGGACAGCCAGGACTGTTGAAACCCTGTCTGGAATTCCCCCTTCCCACCCAAAAAAAGAAACATCTTGGATGACAGAGAGATGGCTCAGTGGTTAAGGGCACCTGCTTTTCTTGCAGAGGACCTGGGTTCAGTTCCCAGCACCCACATGGTAGCTCACAAGTAACTGTCCATAACTCCAAGTCCAGGGGAATCTGATCCCCCCTTCTGGGTACCAGGCATGGCATGTACGTGGACATAGACATATAGGTAAAACATATACACATAAAAATAAACAAAAAGAATGAAGTAAATTAAAAAAAAAAAAAAAGAAAAAAGAGCTTGGTTACCAAGGAAATCAAGTAAGATACAATATTTATCTGTGAGAAATGCACACTCTCCTGTGGGAAGAGAGCAGTGTGAATAGTGGGTAGGGCTCTGTCTTACCTTCCTCACGTTGCCTTTGGATACCTCATTTTCTTCTTCTAATGAAAAGGTCTCACTCTCCAGAGATGGTTCCTTTTTCTAAAAGATTGATTAAAGGCAAACGATTGAAGGCAAAAATTAAACTCAGATAGAAAGATGTGTTTCTCTTGTTTGGTGTCAGGAGTAGAACTCAGGGCCTAGCACAGGCTGGGCAAGTGTTCTACTACTGACAGACATCCCCAGCCCTCAAGTTTCACTTAATGAGACAGGGCCTCATTAAGTTTCCCTTCACGAGGCTGGCCTTGAACTTTCAATTCAACTGCCTCCTGAGGAGCTCAGGTAACACAGCCACCAGGGCTGGCAAAAGGATGTTTTTCGCTACCTCATATTACTTTACTCTGAAATAAAGTTTTCCCACGGGCCTAGAAAAGTTTTAGATAAAACTGGAATCAAAACCCTAATTTTTCTGTTTATGTATTTCCTAAGAAGGAAATGACTGCCAGGGAACTTGAAAAAAAAAAAAAATCCCTCCGTTATGGGGGTTGAAAATGTCAACTCAGCAATTAAGAGCACTTGCTTTCGCTTTCGCCGAGGACCTAACACCTACATCATAGTTCATGGGAGTTTATATTTCAAGTTCCAGCGACTCCAACGCCCTTTTTAGCTTCTACAGGCACTGCATGCACACAGGGCATATACACACGCAGCGTGTACATACACACATAAAATGTAATCGAGAGAAAGAGAGAGAATCCCTTGTGCTGGTTGATTTTTGTCAACTTGACATGAATTTAGACACATCTGGGGAGAGGGAACCTTAATTAAGGAACTTCTCAGTGTGACGGGCTTGTAGGCAGGTCTGCGTGGGCACTGTCTTCATTAATGAATGATCAATGGAAAAGAGGTCGAGCCCAGGTGCCAACCCTGGGCAGGCCGTCCTGGCTTGTATAAAAATGCAGGCTGGGCAAGATGTGGAGATCGAGCTAAGCAGCACTCCTCCGTGACTTTTGCTTCAGATCTCACCCTGATTTCTCTTCATGGTAAACTACGACTATAAGCTAAAATGCATCCTTTCCTCCCCACCTTGCGTCTGGCTGTAGTGTTTATCACAGCGATAGGAACTAACTAAAATATTTCTCTCTTTTTGTTTAGGTTTGTGCACGTGTGTGAACGCACGTTTGCTGTATATGCCTATTTGCACTGACAAATGTTTTTCTCTTGTTTGGTGTAAGAAGATAAACATTTGGTGTGCTGACAGACACCCATATACAGCAGACATGCGTGCACACACACGGAGGGCAGAGAAGGCTATCAGGTGTCCTACTCTGTTAGCCCCCCTTTGGTTGAGACAGGGTCTCTTTACGGAATTTGGAGCGAGGCTGATCACCAAGTCCTCACAGTCCTCACAGTCCTGGGTTTATAGCTCATGACCACACATGGCTTTTTTTATCTGGATTCTGAAGATTTGAACTTTGGTCCTCATGCTTGCACAGCAAACAGTCTTACCCACTGAACAAGTGTAGAGGACCCAGATCTAATTCCCAGCACCCACAAGGAAGCTTATAATCATTTGTAACTCTTGTTGCAAGGGGTCTGATACCCTCTTCTTGGCCTTCATGGGCACTGCATGCATGTGGTACACAGATAGAAAAGCAAGCAAAACACCCAAAATTAAGTTAAAAAAAAATAAAAGCTGCAACAATAAATCCAAAAACAAAGCAAAGGGTGAAAGAGGCGGGTAGGTAGGGATGGTGAAAGAGGCGGGTAGGTAGGGATGGTTTTTTACTTGCCTTGTGATTTTTTGCTTTGTTTTTTACAGCCGCCCTTATTGACTCTAATGACTCTTCATCTTCCAATGAAGAGTCATTTTCTTCCTCCAAACCTGTTTCAAAAAGATCACTATCTCCAAGAAGACAGCCACTGTCATTAAGTGGCTGGTCTGCATCACTTTCCTGGACAATGAATACAGAAAAGGCACAAGTGAATCATTTTAAAGTCTAGCATTTCACAATATCACATGGTAATTTGGAACAGACAACAAAAAGCTGACCTTTCATCAACAGACAAATGTGACACATCTAGACATTCTTACCAGGTCCTAAGCTATACTTGTCCTTTGAGACCCAAGCTGGATTTTTATACAACTACCTAAAATTTACTTAGTAAACAGTAAACGTGTCTTGAAAAGTTAACTAAATACTTACAAAGCAACTACTTTGTAAAATTGGAGGATAATTTTTTTTTTTATTTAACAAATGAACTTTTCATTGATGTATGTGTAAAGGAATGTTAATTCAGAACATGGCTATTCTGGCAAGAGATCACATCTAAAGACCTTCTAGGTATGTGTGATCCAGCTGGAATACAAATAGACCTTTAATCCAAGAGACAGATCAAGTTTCAGGTGAAGAGACTGCTTAGATCCAGGAGTGGCGGAACACACCTTTATACCAGAACAATGATGGTAAAGTTATTTGTAGAAGGAAGCACCCATGTTTGAAAGTGATGTCAAATTAAGTGGCAGAAAATGTGACAAATCAGAGAAAGACTAGACAGAATAGGGTACAGCCAACTCTCACAAGAAAAGACAGGAAATGAAAGCTACTTACAGTGCAATACAGAGAAAAGAGACAGTTTTACCAGGACAGTAATAGGGACGGGTTTTGGAAAGATAACCCAGGTGAAGACAGAAAGAGCCAGAGAATGAGAAGAAGCTACAAGATCAGAGCAGATTGCTAGAGTTAGTTTGAGGCCAAGCTGAGTAATTCAGGGGCTGAGAGAAAAGCCAGAACAAGAAAGGCTGAGATTCTAGGCCTAGGTTAGTTTGTGTGGAGGCTAGAAGCTTCCAGGACTAGACCTAGGTTAGCAGACAGAGGAAGTAAGACACAACAATTATAGCAGGCAAATAAAAGTTCATTCTACATGTATGCATTTTCAAAAATCCTCCCTTCAAAGTCAATTTCATCAGAGAGTAGTGAGAAGAATTACACGAATACACCAAGAATCCAGGAGCCCATTAATTTGAAAGTGTCCTTTACTCAACTACAACGGCAAAGATCACTAATTGTAAATTACCGTCACTCTTTATGCAAAGCAGACAATTTAAAGCTGTATTTTGTGTGCAGAAACATAAGGAACTAAAACCTAAAACATACTCAGATCTACCAGAAAAATAAAACTTAATTACTCTTTAGAATGCACCTCAACAGTAATACATAAAATATTCATACACACTCAAGGATATATTGTTCACCCATAAAAAATGAGATTCTGTCATTTGCGGCAATGTTAATGGAACATTATGTTTGACATTATGTCAAACTAGAAAGAGAAACACCACGTTCTTAGTTCTATGAGAAATTAAAAAGCTGGTCTTGGGCTAAAAAGATAGCTCAGCAGTTAAGAACACTAGCTGTTGTTACAGAAGGTCCAGGTCCAGTTCCCAGCACCCTCACCTGGTGGCTCACCACTGCCTATAACTCCAGTTCCTGAAGATCTGACACCTCTGACCTCCACAGGAACCTGCACCATCCACGTGGTGCACACGGATTCACAAAGGCATAAACATATGCACATACAAAACAAACCTTTCAAAAAGAGGAGAGAATAGAATAGGAGGGCCTTGGACAGGGCATAGAGAGATGCAGGAGCGTGGGTGTTAAGAGTAACTCTTAAGGTCCAAAACAAAGTAGGATAACTATGGGTGGACAACTATTAACTCGGTATTTCAACATAACCAGCAGACAGGATTTTTGATGTGTCGAACACAAAGAAATGCTAACTGCTGGAGGTGATAGGTTTGCCAATTGTTCTGATCCGATCCTTACCTGCTGCCCACATGTAATATGTACTGAAATATCACAGTGCCCCCTAAGTATGTGCAATTAAAATTTGCACCAAGTAAAAATAAATTGTAGGCCAAGCAGTGGTGGTGCACGCCTTTACTGCCAGCACTCAGGAGGCAGGGGCAAGTGGATCTCTGAGTTCAAGGCCAGCCTGGTCTAAGGAGCAAGTTTCAGGACAGCCAGGGCTATATAGAGAAAACCTGTGTCGAAGAACAAAAACAAATATAAAAATAAAAGTAAACAAATTTTAGAAGAACTTGGATAAAGACTGCATTACAAAGTTCAGAAAAATGACTGCTGAGTTTGGTGGTACACTCCTTTAAGCCCAACACTTGGGAGGCAGAAACAGGTAGATCTCTGTGAGTTTGAGGCCAGCCTGATCTACAAAGCAGAGTATCAGGCCAGCCAAGGCTACATGTGAGACCCTGATCAAAATCAACAACATTAACAAAACACACACACACACACACACACACACACACACACACACACACACCCCATTCCAAAGTTTAGAAAATTACAACACCTGATATTTTGTTTCCTTCTTTTTCAGTCTCCTAATTTTTTCCATTGTTCTCTCCTCTTTCTCCAGTCTTCTCTTGGATTTTGCTTTTGCTTCAGTTCCTTCTCTGGAGAGTTTTTTGGAAAGCATTCTGTTGGTGGTGAAGTCCACAGGGCTTCCAGGCTGGAGGCTCGGCTCTGAGGTGGGCGTCTCTTGAGTTTTAAGGCTCTCCCGACACAGAGCTCCCTCACTGTCACTCTCATCGCCATCAGCCAGCCTTTTGGAAATGCTCCTGCTCCTTCCAGTCTTGCCTGAGTAGAAGTTCTCTTCAGTCTCCTCCTGGCTGTCATAGGTGGGTTTCTCCAGAGAGCCATCTCTGTCCTCAGCTTCAGAATCGCTGTCTTGCAGCACTTTCCTGCTCTTCAGCTTCTTGCTCACAAATATCTCTTCATCAGAATCTGAAGGAAACAGCTTTGGTTTTTGTTTTCAAGAAGGTACCCAATCATTTGGCCTTCTTCCTAGCTACTTAAAAATATATTTCACTACACATGTGATATGTCACCTTGTGGGATTATCCAAATACAGAACTGATTGTAGCAAAGCAAATCTAAAGATATATTTTTAAAAGTTTTTCCGTGGCAAAACTTCACTTGCTAAAAAAATGTAATCACATATATTTATAATGTGTAAAGTTGTTCTAATCATCTTGGCAGGTGTTAGAAATCCTTTTCTATAATGAATGTATTTAAGCAGACAATGTAGTAACTATTAGACATTTTATCTATTCAGTTATATAACCGGAATGGGTATTCTTTAAAAATATGTGTAAGCACTGTTATTTTGAATACGTAATAAAGAAAATAAATAATAAAGTTGGGCACTAACAATTTGATAAGTCAAGAAAAATAATGAGATTAACTGAAATCACTCACCACCCAACACCCCACACTCTATTTCTGAAATTAATATAACGTATATTACAAACCTCTTTCACTCAAGAGCGTTTCTAAGCTGCCCTGTCCACTGTCTACAGGACTATCTGCTTCTTCTTCTTCTTGTGAAACAAGTTTTAGATCACTGATTTCCAGGTTAACCTAGAAAATGAGAATAAAGTTTGCATTAACAAGGAGACATAGCTCCAAGTATGTACGCGTCCACAAAACATGGGATCATCCAGCCGCAAATGGAAAGAGCCAATGCAATGGTTTGATGAAGGGATGATATTTACAATTACTGGCCAAAACCAAAACCAAGCACAAACAGAAATTGCCACACGATACTAAATGAGCAACTCCTTCTACTCTTAACTATTAAACACATCAATCGCACAGATCAGATTCGCTCTTTTCCCTTTTTTAAACTGAAAGTACTTATTTATTTAATGTGTATAGGTGTTTCACTTGCATATGTCTGTGCACCATATTCATAAAGTGCCAGACGAGGCCAAAAGGGGGCATGAGAGCCCCTAGAAATGCAGTTACAGACAGGCATCATGTGGATGATGGGAACCGAACCAGGGTTCTGTGCAGTTACAGCAAGGGGTCTTTACCATTGAGCCATCTCTCCAATCCCTTTTAAATTAAAAAAAAAAAAAAAAAGTACTTACTTATGTGTAAAAAAAAATTTTTTTTTCAAGACAGGGTTTCTCTGTGTAACAAGCCCTGGCTGTCCTGGACTGGATTTGTAGACCAGGCTTGTCTCAAACTCACAAAGATCCACCTGCCTCTGCCTCCTGAGTGCTGGGTTAAAAGTGTGTGCCACCACACTCTGCATGTGTATGATATTTTTCTTCCTGCATGTATGTAAGGACACTGCATGCATGTCTGGTCCCCACGAAGGTCAGAGAGGGCAATGGATCCCCTGGAACTGGAATTACAGATAGCTGTGAACCACCATGTGGGTGACAGGAATCAAACCCAGATTCTCTGGAAGAGTAGCAAGTGCTCTTACTTTTTAAGCCATTTTTCTAGCCCCTCTTTAATTTTTTTTTAAAGTGACATCTTCATTTATTTATATTTTTTATTTTGTATGTGTATGTATGGAAAGGGAGTGATGTACCAAGGAGTATGTATGGTCCTTGGACATCCAGAGGACAACGTGCAGAAGTCTATTCTCTCCCACCTGGTGGATCCTGGAGACAAAAGTCAGACTGTCAGGCTTGGCAAAACTGCCTTTACTCAGGAGCCATCCCTCGGGCCCCTGTGATATTTACACTTACACTCACACACACAATGCAGTAATTGTGCTCATCTACCATTCCTCTAACTTTGTTTCTCTGCTGCTCTTCTCTGTCCCTAGTAACCCCTCTCCTAGTTTTAATGTTTTTCCTTTTCCTCCTCCTCCTTTTCATTTTAAATAAGACTCAGCAAAAGTGCGGCTTATGAAGTCAGCCACCTGCTTTGGTAAATAATTTAATTGAAACCAACGCTTGTGAGAAGACATGTTGGTGCAGGATGAGATCTTATCTTGACTTAAGTCTGACATTTTTGTTCAATATCTAATCATGAAAACTTTATGCCAAAATACGGCTTTAGTTTGGTGATTAAGTTTTCTGGTACACCATTAAATCTGTTCCCAAGGCAACTGTTTGGTCCTAGTCCTGGCTCCAGAAAAGAACACAGAACCCGGAAAAAGCTTTCTATGGCTGAATTCCACTAACGAGCCATCAGCTACCAGGTGGACACCGTGCGCGGGGGACACTCGAAGCCCTGCTGGCAAACACAGCGGGCCCACGCACGAGACCCTCAGAAGTCCCTTCCAGAACCAGTTTCAGGCCGGGCTGCCAAGGCCTCTTTTTCGGCCGGGGATGCTGTAAAAGGAGCTTGCGCGGTAGGAAACGCGCCAAAGAGCAGGGCGGGCTGCAGTGACAAGCCCAGGACCCAGCAGCGCGCGCCGGCGAGCCAAAGAGCCGCAAGGACCTAGCGCGGGAAGCTAGGCGAAGACCCACCGGAGGCCCCAGGCCCTGGTACCCAGAGCAGGGATCCCGGAGCGGTGCACGCCGGTAATTGTAGTCCTCCGGGCTCGGCGCTCCGGCCCTGCTTGGGTCTCCTGTCCCACCCGGTCCTACGGCGAGAGGCCTCCGCAGCCCGGACCGGAGCCTAAACTCACCTCAGAACCCGCCTCGCCGGTCATGATTCCGGCCTCCCCACCGCGCGGCTCCGGGAGAACCTGTCCCCAGCAACTTCAACTTGCCGGCGACAACTCCCGCCGTCTCCAGCCCGGCAGCGGAGTTCGAGCTTTCGCGCCTAGACGCAGTCCGGCACCCACCCTCGATGGTTTGCGCCAATCCGAGGTAGGATTTCCCTCCGAGGCCCCACCCTCTGTCGTCCTGCCAATCAGGAAGCGCCTGCCGCTGGCCCTGCAAAAGTAATTTGGGTTGGTTTGGCGGGTCGCGGCTGCTCTTGTCAACCAGATCAAGGAGTGGCTTTGGGGTGGCTGGGGGTGACCGGGTGCGAAGAGGTCCGGCGCTGTTGCTTGGAAAGAAGGTATCTCGCGAATGGTGTTCTTGGACTTGTGATCTTTGCCCTAGTTCCATGGGTAATACCGAATGCAGCTTGGGGAGAGAAACTTCAGGAAGTGAACTAGGAAGTCCCCAGGTATTCCGGGGTGCCCCACACCTGAATTTTTGCTAAGGGAATCTGAGACCCCCTTGGAGGCTTTCTCTATCAGTTCGTCCCTGGAGCAGCCCTGTAGAGTTATGCTTTTGCCTTTTTGTGTCAATTCTCTGCCCTTTCTTTGCCCTGCTCTATGGGCAGGCAGGATTGACCTCTCTGGACTGTATTGTCTCAGCTGCCTTGTCGTTTATCTTCTGTATGGTCAGGCCAGTGGTAAAAACTCCTTACAAAGTTATCGTAAAGAGACCGGGGAAAGAAAGATCTGAGTAATCCTCCCCTCCTCCAGCCCCCAAAAGCTCGCGTGCCCTTCACCTCTATTGGTGTAAGGACTAACTCCTACTAAGTGCAGTTGGCTGAGGTCTTTTCCAGGTTTAGCACGGAAAGCCTCCCATCCCTAGAACCTCCTCAGAGCCGTTCGAGAATGTCTGGACACCCCTTACACTAATCTTCCCTTTAAAATTTCCAGCCTTATCTGAACCCACATTCAGATAAAGAGCAACTGATCTAGTCACCACACCTCAACCCACTTCTGTACCCCTAAGGGTTCTTGAGGTGGGGGTGTAGCAGAAAGTACAGAGTCCCACCTTCGTTTTTCACCTTTTGCTCTATTTTACCGTGACCTTATACATCAGTGATTCACGAATATGCATCTATCTTTAGCGCTTCCTCCAGCATTTGGAGGACCAACCTTTATTGGCAAGACACTTTGTGACAGAAACAATGGGCAGAATTTTATAATCTATCTTTCTTTCTTTCTTTCTTTCTTTCTTTCTTTCTTTCTTTCTTTCTTTCTTTCTTTCTTT